AACCTCGTCTTCGGATCGTGGAGGAGTTGGCAACGGTGCTTCATGACGATTAAACCTCTGGACGTTGTATAATTCCATTACTTCGTCACAGTTATCAGCCCACCACCTTTGAGCTTGCCACTTGTTGAAAACATCTCGGCTGTAAAAGTTAAAAGCCAACCAGAGGAAGTCAACAAGTAGAGCATATGTGATATGTCAACTAACTTTTTGAAATCCCTTTCAAGTGTTGAAGAAGAAAAGGGACTTGCAAGAACATGAGATGCATTACGATCTTTCAGTGATAGATTATCGCTAATTAAACTCGTATCTCTGAACCCAATGGGACTATCGAAAAATGTTGATATGCAACACAGTTCCGCAACATATCTAAATTTTTGTTGTCTCGGTTAACAAGGAAAATTGCTTGGAATGTATACAGATCATATACAAGGATACTTGTAACAACCTACAATCTTTTACCGGAGTTTCAATAATGTATTGACCAAAATGGCTTGTAACAAAATCAAAATTGCAATTCATCACCCGCTATGTAATCAACACACCCTTCGAATCAACATCTTGCAACAACATTTTTTTTACTTTCACCACCAAAAACAGATCGAACGAATCACAACTTTCAGATTTCAGATCCAAAAGGGACCATTTGCAGTCAATGACCCACAATTGGGAATATAGGATCAATTATCCGAATTTCAATTGAGAAAGGTAAAGATGAAACACAAACACAAACACAAATCCAAATCGAATAACTTATCACCTGAATCGGATCCTTTTCAGATCATTTCCACCCTGAGGCAGCGAAACGAAAGTAATCAACACTCCCGGCTCAACCTGTGCAACCCATTCTTTTGGCTCATCTTCCTCCATGAACAATACAGACTCAGTTCTACCACTAACTGAAGCTGGCGTGGCTGAGCCGCTCCAAAGGGCTCTCAGTTTGGCTTCCAAATCCTTCTTCCCCCTGAGCCGAGGCGTGGAGTTTGAGCTGCCCGGCCTTCTGTACGAGCCGTAAAACCTCTCAGACACTGAGCCGAAGTCCGAGTCTAGATAGTCTTCACCCTGTTTTCGGCCCGACGAGCCCGAACATGGCCTGCAGTTCTTATATGCATCAGATGCCTTCACTGCTATGTCCTTGATCTGAATCACATAACCCACACAAAAAGCCAGGATACATTAATACAAAAATTATTAATATTTGGACAAATTTGTAATGAAATTCCATCTCATAACACAGAAAACCATAATGCCCGACTTTAATGGTGATTACACAAAAAAAGCACTAAAACGATAAGTCAAAAGTAAATCGAAGACCTGAGTCGTGAGGGCCTTAATAGGTTGCTTGGTGGACGGCGTGGCGGCGTTTTCATCGTCTTCCGGCGGCTCGGGGAGAGATCCGTTCGCATTCAGGCTGCGCTTCGAGCACGCTATGCAAGTCAACATTCTACTGAACAAAACGGCGGCGTTTCAGAACAGAACGGGAATTCAATTTAGCCGTATCGCCACACACGCTTGTCGGCCATGGAAGAAGCTGGTAGCACGAGAGCGTGAAGAACGAAAGAAAAATGAAAAGATTGAAGCTTGAGGGAAAAAAAATGGCCCCTTTGAATTAAGAGCTCGGGGAGTGGCCAATGGCGCGTCAATGGCTGAACCAGGAATGGCTGTCAATATTTTTCAGAGAGAGAAAGAGAGCTGCAGCAGACAAATCATAGATCAGGGAAAGTGGGGTTTGATTATTCTATGTTTTCTCACAAGTCCATAGCTCACAGGTGATAAAGTGTGACAGAGAAGGAGAAAACACTATAAAAAAAAATGGTGGGGGAAAGAATCACTGGATCGGAGGAGCTGTTGAGATTTGTGGGGTTGACGATGAAGAAATGGAGTGGAAATGTGAGTTGCAGATTGTTTTAGGTAGTCGTTTGCATTTATATTTTATAATTATTGTTTAAAAAAAGTTAAATGAATTAGAATTGATATTTTAGTATTTACTATGGTGTAAATTGTAATAGAGTGCTAATGAAAAATTATATTTCAATTGAATGATAAATATGAGAGGTTTTTATTTTAGTCGTCAAATAAAAAATTATGGGAAATGCTACGGTCTTGTTACGGTACCATCTCGTCGAGTGTTTTAACCGTTAGCTCTTATCTAACTACATGTAGATCCAACAATGAAAACACCCGACGGGATAGTACCGTAACGGGACTGTAGCATTTTTCAAAAATGATATTACTATTTATATTTAGAATGACACTCTTCTATTGCAATATTTTTTTTAATTCATATTATATGGTAAACTTTATATGAATTTATTGATTTGATGAATATTTGTATTAGTTTTTGTATGAAATGACCTCGATCAGCTGCATTCAAGTGATCTGCCATCTTCGTCAGTGAATGACCTTCAATACCTACAAAAACTCGACACCATAGGAGGTTTTCAGATGAATGGACTCTAATGCTTAAGTCAACAAGATATAGAAGACGATGAACAATATGTAAGTGTATATAAAGTGTGTAATGTAACAGTGGGCATACCTCACTCCCTAATATAGAGAGATAATATCTCGTTGTCCGAGTGGGCTGCATAGACTATTCGTTCGTACTGCTCGAACTACCTGAATTGCCCAAGTTTGTTATGCCATGTGGTCGTATCCACATGTGGATCTTATCCTAATAATATTATTTGTTATTCCTTAGTCTTTCTTATTAGGCGGCCTAATCCTGCGACCAACCGCAATTACCTCGAGGTGTGGTACCTACAATGTCGAGCTCATATGCTTTACTCATCTAGGCAATCTTACGACCAGTTGTACCTTAACTCGACCTATCGGTGCTCCTTGAATCTGCGGCATTCCCTTCAACCTGTAATGCCTTCAATATTTGTTTGATTGTTAGTTCATCGAGTTCAATCATGTTGTTTCTCGGGTCCATTCGACTCAATAAGTTATCCCATTGTTCATGTGTGATTTTACACCATATTCATATAGTATATAGAGCTTATTTGTCGCATTATTGGTGTATAAATTGCATATTTGTGCTTTAATTTTACATTTGTTGGAAAGGTATTACACGTGCTCGTTTTGTAGATATTTCCACATATTTGTAGAGCTTTGGCTATTGGAGGAGCATGGTGAGTGCTTAAAACTCCCGGGATGATGATAGATCGATGCACG